ATTAAGGGAAGAAGGTGAGTACTTTTCTTATCTCTCAATAGGGAGATGACACCTTATCCTAATTCCTGGAAGTGTCAAGAGAGCTTCAGGGCCAGTGAATAATTTATTGTGGCTCTTCTAACTAAATTCTTTAACCCCCACAAAATGACTTGTTCCTGTAAAGGTCTGTAAGAGGTTGGGGAAGATACTGATAGGATTCACCTGTGAGTAACTGTGAACATAATTCTCTGGAATACCATCTTGCTGCATATAAAAAGAGTAGAGTCCTCAGGGAAATGGGCTGGGGGAATCTCATCACCAGCAAGAGCCAGAAGTAGAGCAAGCATATCCTCTAGACAGGAGATCCCTGGCCACTGAACCTCCTGGAACCAGAAGCCAGGAGGAACAGCAGCAGAACCAGGAACCAGAGCATGGAACAGTGGTGGGCTCCCCACCCCATGGAGTAAGTAAAACTGAGTGCTTTTGTGTAGGAGGCTGGCTTGTGGAGTGGGGTGTCTGGGGACACTTAATTGGAGAAGCTGGGCCTACTGACCCACAGAAGTGGAGCCGAGTGCCTTGGGGCTCAGGCTTAATGGAGTGGGGTACCTCTGGGTGTTTAATTCAAGAAGCTGGGTTTGCTGACCCACACATGGAGTTTGAGCTAAATGCCTTCAGCTTGAGGCTTCTATTAGTAGTATGACCCCTTGGGCATTTATTAGCACCTCTGAAATAACCTTGTAATATGTCCCGATAAACAACTATCCTGAGCACTTCTCACTGGCATTACAACTTGATAACTTCCTTAATAAACTCTTTAATGAAGTTTGTCTGAAATGAGTATTAGAATTTAGAGAAATAAAGTAGAAAACATTAAGATGACACAGGTGCTTGCTGAGCCAAGTGGGAAAAAAAAGTAAATTTATGTGAACTAGATAGTTGAGGGAAAAATGAAATATTTAAGTTTACAAGTCATTATCAGTATGAAAGGAAGGCTTTGGGGAGAGAGAACTTCAATATTAACCTGACATACAAATCAGATTTACAGATGACATGAAATTAAGGAGTAAAATTACTTATTAGAAATAATTATTCCCAAATACCAAATATTAATAAGTTAGAATTAACCTAATTCAACAGAATAAAAATTAATATGGAAACATGTAACCTGTTAAAAACTAATGCCAAAAAGATAGAAAGACCTAGGGTTATGAAAAGGCACCTAGGGATTTGTTTGAAAGGAAGAGCACTGAAGTTATTGATAAGACACTTCCCTGGGGGTGTTAGAGAACTACAATGGTGATCTGAAAAAAAACAGGTGTCTGTGGGGCAGGAACTAAATTCCTATGCAACTGTGGTCCCATAAGTTTTTTGTTTCGTTTGATTTTTAAGGGAAAGTAGGCCCATTTTTATTATTTCACTAGACTTGTTTCAAAGACCCCAAGCTTCAAATGATCAAGCATCCAGGGCACACATAAAAATCCCTGTAGCACCTCTTAACTCTACCTTCTCCTATACCCCCTATCTTTATTCACTTGCCCAGCAACTCTGCAAGTTTCCCTCTCAACACAAGGCAGCCTGCATAGTTGCATCACCCAACTTAGGCACAGCTGGGATCCAGCCAGTTCATGGGCTCGATTTGGCTGGGTACAGCTGCATGTGATGAAGAACTGTTTATACCAATAAGGTGGTATCAGCCACTTTCCTGGCACTCCCAACCCACTCCCCATTCATCCCCATGGCCACCTCTCCATGCCTATGTACCCTGAGACCCTGTCCGGGCCAGTTAAAAAGTCCCTAGTTGGCTACCACTGAAGTCGCCCAATTCAGCTACACACTTGGCCAAGTCAGTCTCATTTCCAATGGGTACAGCTCTCTGGACAAGGTCCCAAACACATACCTCCTATCAAGCTATACATCCTGTACTTAAAAGTTATCAGGGCAAAATGCAAAGATGGACTGAGAGACCACTATAGACAATGCACTCTTCAATAGCTAGATGTCAATAAGGTGGCACAGTTCTGGGCCAACTTCATAAAATTGGGGAGTGGGTACTCACTTAAGGAGAACAGATATGATCATGGTTCATTTCTCAAACCTGGCTGCATTTTGGGGTCCAGCTTAATTGCTTTGGGATAGAGCCCAGGTATGTTATTTTTTCAAAGCTCCTGGCTTTGGCAACTTGTTATTTTTCAAAGCTCCCAGCTACCAGGCCATTACATTTAAGAGTCAGATGACTACTTGTCTGATTTAAATGAGAACTTTTAAATGAAAGGAAAGTACATGGAGATTAATAACCATTAATTATATTATACAGTAGGTACTAAGCGGTTTCAGAAAGCTGACTGACACAGTGGCTGCAATGGGATGATCCAGGACTGGGCAGTGTTTTCCTGCTGCTGTGCACAGGGACACTGAGTCAGAACCCACTCGGTGGCACCCAGCTAGCATGTTCAGTCTATCCTCTCTCATCGCAGCTGCTCAGATTTGGAAACTTTTAGCACAGAGCCTGGAACATTCTCAAATGTTTACATGTTATTAACTTCTCTTCCACTTTCTATTCATGCTTTAAATGCATCTCAGAGGAGCATTAGGGCTTTCAACATAGGTAGTGACTCTCTGCGACTTGAAACAACTGAGGCTCAGAGAAATTAATTTGGCAAATGCCCTAGGTCCACAGGGGTCGCCCGATTCATAACAGTAGCAAAATTACAGTTATTAGGTAGCAGTGAAAATAATTTTATGGTTGGGGGTCACCACAACACGAGGAACTATATTAAAGGGCATTAGGGAAGTTGAGAACCACTGCCCTAGGTGGTGGACTGCAAAACCAATCCCAAATGACAGCTAGTGTCCTCCCTGCTCTTTCCATCAGGCAACCTTCAAGATATCTATGTATTAAATCAACTGTTTACCTGAACAACCAGAACCAGAACCATTTCTTCCCGGCCTGTTCTCAAGGAAATTATCTTAAACGAGAATCCAAAATAAGGTAAAAAAAGCACCTACATGTTTCTCATCTGGCCTGAGAGAAATTCTTCTTTAGGTCCTTGAAAACCTGTGAGATTACAGGAAATGTATCAAGTCACCTATTAGAACAAAGCACCTGAAGTAAAAACTTGGACGAAACTCTTATCCCATGTAAAACACTTCTCATACTACAGATAAAGAGCGTATGTCATCCCAATATAACTACATTGTAACACTGAGGGAGGGGAAACTGATCCTGATTATCTGATACCTTCCCTTGGCCAGATTGAGCCCACTGAATTTGCTTGCACATGGTAGCCAATTTGGTTATATTCATTTGAGAAAAACCCAAGGAGTAGCCACCACCATCCTACTCACCACCTCGCCAATGGGAAAATGAATGAAAGGGTAAGAACCACCTTTATCATTCTATAAAATCCTTAATAGAGCTCTGAATACACTCTAAACCATTCTCAAGACTGCCACAATTAGAAGACTACATTAGCTTTCAAAATCATCTTTAAGTTGTGGAAGGAGCACTGGTGGTGGCATTGACTCTATGGCTTGGCTTTGGTTTGTTTTTTTGGATAAAGTTGTCATACTCACTGAATTACTCATGCAATGTCAATTCAGATATTTTCCTTTTCTGTTGCTGCAAAGAGGAACCCTGGTGGCATAGTGGGTTACCTGTTGGGTAACTGCAAGGTCAGCAGTTTGAAACCACCAGCAGCTCTGTGGGAAAGACTTTCTACTCCAGGAAAGAGTTATAGTCCTGAAAACTCAGAGGCAGTTCTACCCTGTCCTATAGGATAGCTATTGCCTGCGTGGCAGGGAGTTTGGTTTGGGTCGCTGCAAAGTGTGCTTGTAATGTACAACAATGACACATTAAATTTTTATATTTTGAGCATCTATCATCAGCTAATGAATACAGAACATTTTAGTCTATAAAAATAGAAAGCTTCAAGTCCTAAATTTCTACTTAAAATAACCAATAAAGCTATTTGTGCCAGTTTTGCAGATTTACCCTCTATATCCAGAAATGGTGTTATACAGTACATTTTGAACAATGAGTATGGTATATTATGGATGCTTGAAACTGTTTATTAAAAATATTTTACTTTACTCATCTTAAATTTTAGTCAGATCTTGTCCTACTGACATAAAAAATTGAATGGGGAGAAAGTAATAATAAGCTTAAGTTTCAGTATTCTTATGTACTCTGTAATTCTCATCAGGAGTGTACAAAGCATAGGTTTGCAAATTTATTTAACCTACTGCCCCCTTTTCAGAAGAAAAAAAAAAACCTAACGCCACCCTGGAAATTAAAAACCTTTGCACTATAGCTCCACAATTCAGGAGAAAGTATAGGCATCCGTTTTTTGCAGCCCCTGTGACCTAGATTGTTCCAGCACCCCCATATGCTGGTATCTCCCACTTTGGGAAATGCTGGGAACTCTACTGTCCTATGTAATTTAATATTGTCTAATAGCTACATTAAAAATGGATACATGATGTTAATTTTACTAATATATTTTATTTAACCTAATATATAAAACATATCAACATGCATCAACACAAAAAAATGAATTTTCTTACATTTTTTCCCCAAGTCTTCAAAACCCAAAGTAATTTTATAACTACGGCAAATTTCAATTTGAGGAGTCACATTTCAAATGCTCAATAGTCACTTGTGGTTAGTGTACTGAATAACACAGTTCTAGAGGTCTAACCCCCATCTCCAGTGAAATATTAGCCATAAATGAACAAAACCAAAATACAAAGCTAAGAATATATAGAAACTGTTCATCTTTCCTTGGGAAAAAACAAAAAGTTATAAAATAAGCCAGATGTTAAGTAAGTCTGGATTTGACATAGATTATATTGGCAGAAAATAATGATTTTTTTTTTAAGATGAAGCATATCAGTTATGGTATGAACTTTTCTTAACATTGCTTACTAAATGCAAAAAAAAAAACAAAAAAAAAAAAACATTGAATGACCCGAGAATATCATTTGCAGAGATAGAGAAATGGAAGACTTCAGAAGTAGAGGGGTGGTGGTGCAATAAATGCTTTATGAAGGAGAAAAAGTGAAGTCTATTAAACATAACAATTACAATGAACATTTTTAAAGCAAAACAGCAGCAACAGTCTTTTATCTTAGAAGGTACAATACTGTGCCTTATTTCCTTATCTTTGGAACAATGCAACATGTCCATCTGAAAACAAATGATTCTATGTCATTAACTTACAATTCCACTGGAGGCCAAAGTGAAGAATAAGAAATTTAACAGAATGACATGCACTTATCATGCATATAAGGGAAACAAATATGCCTACGATGTCCTTCCCATTTGACACAGCAGTCTTACAAGTTTGGGTGTGATCTATAAAAACATCAGTTACTAACTTGCTACAATGTAAAATTATCCACTTAGGCAATTGAAGTCACAACATTTTTGTGGGTTATTATTCCATGAAGACAACAATTTCCAAAGTCTTCAGAGTTTGACAAGACCGTTATTTATATTGTATTTCTAACGATAGTTATAACATGAACAAGTTGAAAACTATGAATTCTCTAAGTTTTAAAATTTTGTACAGGAAAGTTAAGATTAATATTCTAAATGTTCTCAACTGAAAGCAAAAGAAAGCTGTATAGCTCAATTACTCCAGTAAGCAGAAACAAACAAAATAAGGTTAACAGGATTTTATGAAATACCAGTGATACAGAGTATTACTCAACATAAATAAGGTCATATTAAAGAGAGAAAGCATGCAAAGTTGCATTGTATTTCTTTAAAGAATCCTTGTGGGTAAAATAATCTAACACTTTCCTGAGAAACGTATTTCTCCTCTCTCTCCTCACAGGTTATCAGCCCAGTCTTAATTTTAGTCTTTCCAACACTTTAAACTGGGAAAGAGCTTTCATTCCATTTAGAGCTCTTCTTGCTTAAACCCTCTAGGTGTTACCAGAGGGAGAGGGAGTGTGGAAGTGAGCAAGGGATGCAGTAGGAGCTCTGGCAGTCTGTTTTGCAGGATAACCTGTTTCTGGATGGCCAAATTAAATAACAAAGTCTGCTTTTGCAGATGTTTCCAAGCCACCCCCTTTCTCTGTTTTTTTTTTAGCCCTCTCCCAAAGAGCGCTAAGTTTACTGCTATGTTGAAATGTAGTCATGTTCAGGATGAAGAAGGGATGCAAGCCAAGGCTGAGAAAGCCTGGCACTTTTAAAGATACCAGCCTTACCCTTGCCAGGAAGATGGGTCTAACAACTTGCCTGATAGACAGTAGGGTGTCTGGGAACTGAAGGGTGGGAGGGAAAGGTTTGATGAGTTGAAAAGTCTATGGAATATTAGCAAGCAACCTTCCTTGGTCCACCACCAATTCCGAAGATCCACATTTACTAGAAACAAGACAGTGAGGTTGACAACTGAAAGATGTTCATTCAGAAGGCGGTAGTCAAGAGCAATGGGCATAGCCCATAACCAAGCAACAAAAGCTGACTAGAGTAGAATGAGAGTCACATAAATCACCAACAGAAGTCAAATGATGTTCTTTCTTGACATCATTAATGCCCAGCAATTGTTCACAGGCCATGTGTTTGTACTGCCAGATGAGGAACAAAATGAGCTTCTAGCCAGTTACAAATGCGGGTGGCAAGAGGTTCCAAGCAGTGCAGATTAAGTCTGATGTACAGCATCATTTGCTTCGCTTAGCAATGTTGAACCCTAGGGCCATGGAGTGGGTGATGTTAATACAGAACAGCTCAAAGATAAGAAAGTCTTAGTATGTCCAGAGGAAAGGTGCAGTCAGCCTAAAAACACATAGAAAGCATACCCATGCTGTTGATCAAGTACATGTCTAGCAGGTGGTGGTCATGAACCTTGTGCCTGAGCATTTCCCAGGGCAACGGTTAACCAGACTGGCATCCAAAGGGCCTGGGGAGCTCTACTGGTTCCCTTATTGGGCGACGCCTGGGTCTTCGGGCTCCTTCACGCAACAAGTAGTACTGCAGTGGGTTTGGCCACAAGTCCTCTTTGATAATCTCTGCAATCTTGTCAGACTCTGGAAGGCTGTGGTCTGAAAACCAGGTGAAGAAGCTGCAGATGATGCCTTGGTCCCTGTGAATGAAGGACTGGGGCTCATGACCTCTGCGCCATACGATGGGAGTAGAGAGAGATACCACTTCGCCTGAGGACCTGACCTCATATTCCTTGACAATCAACTTGTTTCTGAAGTAGGGGTTTCTGCGGAAGAAGAACTTGAACTTGCAGCCCGTCCTGGGCTCTCTAAGCTCCTTCACCTCCAAACTGGTCATATATCTCACCATCTCTGCATCTTGACCTTTAATCATGGCGGACAGTTGGGGATGGTGCCGAAAAGCGGTAGCCCAGAAGCCAGGGATATTCTGAATAATGTAGTTCCTCCGCTCCAGGTAGTGGCGCCGCATCCGACCAAATTTCTGCTCCAGCTGGAGGAAGGCCCGGTCAGCCTGGGCGTTCACAGTGTCCAGCTCCTGCTGAATGGCCTCCAAAGGGTCCATGCGAAGAAACCAATTCGGAAGGTGGGGCCTTGCCTCCGCGTTCACCTCCCCGGAGACTTGATCTTCCTCCACCACGTCCATTTCACCCACTGGCCTCTTGTCCACCTCCATTTTCCCCTCCATTACCTCGGGCCTTGCATCCACCGCTCCTGGGGAGACGGCGCACTGTCCAGGCTTCCCTTGCTCCGCCTTCGCCCCGACTGTGCCCTCAGACGCGGACCTCCCTGCGTCGCAGCCCTGCAGGGCCGTCTCCCCCCCAGGGCCGCGGGGCTCGCCGCCCTCACCGACAGTCGTCCGGGCGCTATCCGCCGCCGCCGCCGTGGGGGCCGAGGCCGCCCCCAGGCCTTCGGAGGGAGGCGGGGCCTCTTCCCTCCCAGCGCCCGTCGCCGGCGCGCCGCGACCTCCGCGGACTAGGGTCTGGGAAGTGCGGCCTCCGCTCGCGGGGTCCCAGGCGGCGTCCCCCTCCGCGGCAAGCCGGGGAGGTGAAGGCGCAACGGTCTCAGGGCCGCGCTTACCAGCCTCCGCCATCAGCTGAGCGGCCGCGGTTTCTTCGCGAAGGCCGGGGTCTCCTGGGGCAAAGCCAGAAGGGCCGCCGCAGGCTTCGGGGAGAGGGGTGCGCTCGCCCCCATGCAAGCTGCTCATGTCGGCCTCAGGGGACCGGCAGCGAGCGACCAAACCTCCCTGCGACCCAAGGCTTTCCAGTCCGAAGCCGCGCTCGGGACTGAGTCTCGCGAGCGTTCCCGTGGCGGTGACGTCAGCACTGTCATCTGTGCCCCGAGCGCGAGAACTCGGGGCGCTCGGGGCGTGGTTCTGCCGGGGCTTGTTTCCCAGAGTAGCTTGGCTTCGATGAATGTGCTCCGTGGAGTGGGAAATTTGACTTGATAAACAAATGCAGATAGACCCCCATATTCAGAAAGGCCATGAAAATGAGGGTCTCTGAGGCCGAAGGCAACGATGACCATCTGGAAACGCCTAGCCTTCAACTTGGAACGGTCCAACGCATAGCCTGCTTCTGCGCTGCCCCTCCCCCAGAACTTTTTTTGTGTGCCAATCTTTATTAAGAAACACAACGTACAAACACATAAAGCCGGAAAACAGCAGGGATCCTGTTGGCTTCAAAAACCAGCAAAGAAGAGGTCCCAGAAACTTTTTTTTAATAGTATAAGGTGCATCCGTGCCTAGGGGTGTGAAAGGCGGGTCGGAGCCTCTCTCCCCAGAGCCAGGAACACCCTGGGAAGCCCTTCCTAGCAGCCGGTCCACAGACAGAAAAGAAAGCTACCCCAGGGAAAACCCTCCCTCTGTAAATCCCCCTTCTTGATGAGGAGGAAAGGGCTGCAGGGCCACACCCGCACGGGGAAAGCGCCCTCCATCCACACCGGGGCTAGCAATAAAAAGGGCGCTGTATTTGCTGTCCTCCCTGGAGCCATTTTTTGTTGCTGATTTGTTTGCCGGCCTGCTCTTCCAGCGGCATGGCCAGGCGCAGGGCCGGGAAGACACCTTGCAAGGCTGAGAAGTGCATGGTGTTCTCGGCAAGGGCAGGGTCGGCTCCGTTCACAAAGGTCTCCAGGTCATAGTCTGGCTGTTCGTCCATCTCAGAGAGTTCAAGCCAGTTTGGCCCTTGCTGGCTGGTCTCCTTGACTGCCTCCATGGCCTTCTCCTCCAGTTCCCGGATCTGGGTAATGGCTTCCTTAAAGCTGGATATCTGAGCAGACGGTTCCTCCTCGTCCTTGGAAAAATTGCCCCCACTTGGTGCCAGGGCACCACTGGAGTTGACTTCTGTCTCTTCTATTTCCATCGGAATTGGCTGCTCCCCACTGGGCCCACTGTGGGGGCTCAGCTCCTTGAGCCTCTCTGGGGTAGCTCATGGTGTTTAAAGTATAGTCACAGGCGCTGATGCCTGGTGAGATCCTGGTGATGGTGCAGGTCCTTGAGTTCTCCCCTAAAAAGGAGTCCCACAACACCTGGGTCAGCTTGTTCTCTCAAGTGTGTGAGCCTTGTTCTGTCCCTGTGCCCTTACACTCCTTCAGAACCAGGAGACTTTTGTTGATTTGTGTGCCCCCCCAGGTGGGTGTGGGAAAGAATTGGAATTGGTAAAGGTCTGCTCAGAAGTCCTGCAGGCCTGCCTGTGTCCAGCCTCTTGATTACATCCTGCACGCAGGTTCACCAGGTGCTCCCGCAGGCCCACCACCTGCACCTGCTACTTGCCATCCTCTAGCAACTGCGTGTGCAGTTTGACCTTGTTGAGAAAGTCCAACAGCTTTCCATTGTAGATCTCGAAGAATGGCACGCAGACTTCCAGGGCCAGCTTTCAGTAGCAGGAGAAAGATGCCCCAGGAGGCCATGGCATAGATCCTTTTGGATGCAATGTGGCCTCTTGCCAAGTGGCCTCCACCCAACCTATGTGTCTTGCCACTTTCCATTTGGCCATATGAAAAACAGGTTGCTTTTCCTCCTACAAAGATCATCTGGTCCAATGGTCTGGCAGCATACTTACACACCATGTCATTCGAAGCGGTTTCAGATCAAATGGAAGCAGTTTCAGATCAAATGCAGAGTCAAAGTAGAACTCTTGGTTCTCCAGACACTTTGTTAAATCCAGCCTCGGTTTGGCCTCATGGACAAGAGAAGACACTTGCTAGGAATGGAAATCACATCAGTTTCTTTCTTGGCCAATTCTTGCTTATGCAGCAGGCGTTTCCTAATGCAGACACATATCCTGTGCTCTTCAGTAGGATCAGTCATAGTAAGCAGATGGCATTTGAAATTAGTCCAGAATTATTTAATCGTACAGCAAATTCCCCGTGTGGAAAGCTGTTGTCACACTCCTGAGCTGCTTCATTCTCATTTCCGTGTTCTGGGCCCTCCTCTCGCTTGGTCTTCATTTTTGCTTTTCCTCACGATATCCAGTTTCCCCTGAAAAAAGGAAGCCCCCTCTCACCTGAGTTCACTGGGTTCGCAGAAGAGTTGCCTTGAATGGAGTGGACTTGCTCTTCCGCCTCCTGGCTGACAATCTCCCATGGTCCCCCTGCAGGGCAGCAGCGCTGAGGGGGACCAGCAGGAACTCCTGGTAGGAAGGTAAAATATGTTGCTTGTTATTTTATAAAGGCTAGAAACAAAAGTCGACTCTTAATTAAGATGAATAGCTAATTGTTTCCCTTACCTCAAGTAGAACTGAGAGGAAAATATCTATTCGATATAATTAAAGAGCAAAAAACTACGCAGCAACTTTTTTCTTTTATTCCCCCTTATAACCAAAATGATGCAAATGCTTCGTTTCTAGTTCTTAATTATTCATTTGCATCAGAGGTGTTTGTATTGAATGCAGTCTGCAGGGAGGAGACCAGGAACAATTTGCTAAGTTTTATTCCATGGCTTCTCAGAGGAGGAAAGAGGAAATGATCAGCTATTTCAAGACCAATAAAGGACTAGTGTATTTGGTTCTGTGAAGTAGAAAAGGTTCACTCCAATGAAATATATTTACATGGCAACTAGTTGATAAGAGTTCATTTGAGAGCGTTGTCAATGTTTTTGGGGTGCTTTTGTTTGGTGGTTTGTGTGGAAATGTTAGGTAGCTAGAACAGAAACATGGGTGTCCACAGGGCATGCTCAGAAATTCAAGGTCCTGGCCAGGAAGGGGTGGTACACCTAAGTGGGCGGTACACCTGGATTGGCCCCATCTAGGCCAGGTGAGTCTAATTCAGCCTATGGGGTTAACCAGTATCCTTGACCACACCTCCCAACAGGGGTCCTGAAAAAGCCAGAAACTTTGAGAAGACCAGGTCTCTCCCAGAGGTTCCTACACAGTTCCGCACAACTGTGCTGATCTCTCTGTCTCTGTCTCTGTCTCTGGCTCTCTCCTCTCTCTCTCAGATTACAAACCAGGCTTCCGTGTGAATTCTTTCTCATGCAGTCAAGGACTGAGGTATTTCTAACCCCAACATTATTGAGAGACCTAACAGAAACTGCTGTCTTAGAGTTACAAGGCTTCAAAGTAATGCCAGGTGGGGTTGGGAGCACCCTCTACCATGTTTTTGAGGGAGGGAACCCAAACCAGGTTAAAATTAATTGCTACAATGACCTTGAAGTAGAAAACAAAGTTACAGACTTTCAACATAGAGCTAGTTGATTTAAAATGTACAAGAGGTAATTTCCCCCACTCTCTTGTTTGTCCGTGGGGTAGGCTGAGTAACAGCCCCCAAAGTGTCCTGGTCTTCGTTCCACGAATATCTTACTTTACGTTGCAAGCGGGACTTTATAGATGGCAATAAATGAAAGAATTTGAGATGGGAAGCTTATCCTGAGTTACCTAAGTGGGCCCAATGAAATCGCATTGGGTCTTTATTAGAAGGCGGCAAGAATGTCAGAGTCCGAGAAATTTGAAGACACTACCATGCTGGCTTTGAAGATAGAGGAAGGAAGAGTCAAGGAAAGTGGGAAGTCTCTAGGCGTTAGAAAAGGCAAGGGCACAGATTCTCATTTAGAGCTTCTGGAGGAGTGTAGTCTGTACATACTTTTATTCAAGGATTTCTAACCTCCACCCAAAACAAACTCACTGACACTGTTTCAGTGCCAAATTTTAGTGACCTCAGTGAATGGGGTACAATTGCCCCTCTGGGTTTTCAGGATTGTTTATGGGAGTAAAATGCCTTGTCTTTCTACCCTAACTCTTAAGTTAATACATCTGTGTTGCATTGATTAAATCTGCCTGCCTCAATTTTTTTTTACAGCACCCCTGCCCATTCTCCTGAAATCCTGCCAACAGCAGTGACTTACAATAGCTTTTGAGTCTCTTTTTTGGAAATTGAGGCTCTGCATATGTAGTCAATGCACACCAAAAAAACCTCGGTGCTCTCGAGTTGACTCTGAGTCGTAGCGACCCTATAGGACAGAGTAGAACTGCCCCCTGTGATTTTACAACACTGTAAAAGAAATTAATCCCCTTACCTTTCTCCTGGGGACCAGATGGTAGTTTTGAACTGCTGACCTTTTGGTTAGCAGCCCAACATGTAATCACTATGCCACAAGAGTTCCTTGGCCTAGACATAAGACCAAAAAAATTAAAGCCAAAATATGCCAAAATAGATATCCGAGAAAGACCAAGCACTCCATGAATATAGGAACCTGATTTTGTTTACCCCACATACATAGTACTTTTCACAGTGTTCCATAGATTCTAGAATGTTCAATGAATTTAGAAATGGATGGAATATAGTTTTCCTTAAATTCAACTTGCAGCTTGCAAAAGAAAAGTAAGGCGCATACATATGGGTTGTCATTCTACTCTCCTCCCATCTGCCACTGGCAATCCGGAAGGCCCATGTATTATCCACAGTGAAAGGGTTAGTCAGGAGAATGATTTCCACCTATGTGTCAAAGCACAAACAATTCACAGGGGGCAGATCTGTTTATAACTAATTTACATTTGTGTGGTCACACTATAGGAGAAACAAACAACATATTTAGAGGAGTAAAACTTCAAAGTAGCATCATTACATTTCTCTTCTGATTCTTCTCTCCTTTCTGTATAAGGCAAGGGAGTGATTCCAGGCCAGACTTCCATCCCCCCTGCAGTAAATGGATATAGATCCTTTATTGCATGACTGAAAAGACTTTCCACAAGGTCCACTTCTTTTTAATTGCGTGAAATCCTCTTCTAACTTGGACCTGGAATAATGTGGCCTAAATTATTTTAATATGCTAATATGCCTTTATTTT